CCTACCGAACACCGTGTGTCTGCAAGCATTTCAACATAAAAACATCAAAAACCCAATGTTTTTTTCACAAAAGTTGTACAAATTTCCCGCCCGGGCTCTCTTGCTGAAATCATAGGAAAACCATAGGAATCTTAAGAATTCTGTCAAATCCAGCGATTTCACGTCATCGCGCGGTGCACTCGCGATGCTCTGTCATGCACCCAGGCCGCGAATCCTGTGCAAAAATACTACAAAGAGCACACTCGCGCGTTCATGTCAGAACCTACCGAATACCGTGTTTTTGCAAGCATTTCAACATAAAAACATCAAAAACCCAATGCTTTTTTCACAAAAATGCTTTGGGGTGTCCTGTCAGACCGTCGGGCTTCCTCCGGCCACCTCTGGCTTCCTGCGGTGTACCGGGCCATTCTCGACTCGTCTGGCAATGCGTGCGCGGCATTCAACACGCGCTCGCCAGTTCCCGTCGGCAACCGCCATCGCGGCCGCATCAGCTGTACCAAACCGGCTGGCCGGTGTGACTTCGGCCCCCAGTTGTGCCAGCTTTGCTTCTTATGTTGTGGGAGGGCGGGTGGGACTGGGCATGCCATGCTTGACTCGCTCGAGCTGGCTAGCTTGACTCCTACTCCTACTCCTACTCCTACTCCTACTCCTCCTCCTCATCCTCCTCCTCCTCCTTCTCCTTCTTCTCCTCCTCCACCTCCTCCTCCCCCTTCTCCTCCTCCTCCTCCTCCTCATCCTCTTCCTCCACCTCCTCCTACTCCTCATCATCATGCTCATCCTCCTCCTCATCCAGCTCCTCTTGCCCCCCTTCCCTCTTTCCGCCCCCGCCCCTTCGATCGCCGACCCTCCTCGATCTCTATCTCTCATCGTCCTCTTCGTCGTGCCCCTCCTCCTCACTCCTCCTATCTCCTCCTCCTCCTCTTCCCTCCGCCTCCTCCTCCTCCTATCCTCCTTCTCCTCCTCCGCCTCCCCTCCCCTCCTCCTCCTCCTCGTCCTCCTCAACCTCCTCCTCCTCCTCCTCCTCATCCTCCTCCGCCTCACCTCCTCCTCCTTTTCCTCCTCCGCCTCCTCCTCCTCCTCCTCCTCGTCCTCCTCCCCACTCCTCCTCCTCTCCTCCTCCTCCTCATCATCATCATCGTCATCATCATCATCATGCTCATCCTCATCCTCCTCCTCCTCCTCCCTCCTCCTCCTTCCTCCTCCTCCTTCCCCTCTCCCCTCCCCCGTCCCCCTCCTTTTCCCCCTCCTCCCCTTCCTCCTCATTCCTCCTCATCCTCATCACCCTCCTCCTCCTCCTCCTCCTCCTCCTCCTCGCTCCTCCTCCTCCTCCTCTCCTCATCCTCTCATCCTCCTCATCCTCATGCCAGGCTCTTTCTCCCCCCCTTTCCCCTCCTTCCGCTTCCGCGCCCCTTCGTCGCCGAACCCTCCTGCGATCTCTATCTTCAACCTCCTGCCTCCTCCTCCTCATCAATCATCATCATCATCATCGTCATCATCATCGCATCCAGCCTCAGCATCATCAAGCATCATCATCATCATCGTCCATCATCATCATCCATCATCATCACTCACATCATCATCAGCATCATCATCATCATCATCATATTTCTCTTCTCTTCCTCCTGCTCCTCCTCCTTCTCCTCCTCTTCCTCCTCCTCCTCCTCCTCCTCCTCCTCCTCCTCCTCCTCCCCCTCTCGTCCTCCTCCACCTCCTCCTTCTCCTCCTCCTCCTCCTCATCCTCATCCTCATCATCATCCTCCTCCTCCTCCTTCCCCTGCTTCCCTCGATCCGTGCCCCCATTTGGCCTCGATCGCCAATCGTCGATTCTACGACATGCCGCCCAATAGACATGCATTCAGGGCACCGAGAGCGTGAACAGCTGCTCTTTTACGCCTGAGGGGGACCTTGGAACTCTCGTCCAGCCCTGCTCTCGGAGGCAGTTTGAAACCGCTTGGGGGCCGTCTGGGAGCCCCCAGGGGGCTCTTTTGGGCCTTTTGGAAGCCTCTCGAGGCCATCCTGGGCCGTCTTAGGCGACTCATGAGCAGTCTTGGGTTGTCTTAGGCTCCTCATGGCCGTCTTGTGGCCATATTGGGTTGTCTTGGGCCCCTCTTGGGGCCCTC